TGCGTGGTTGGTCCTTGTAGTGTAGTGGTTAACACATCGGCCTAGAATACCGAAGACGTGGGTTCGAATCCTGCCAAGGGCATTTGAAATTTTTCTCTTATTCTCTCTATGTCAAAGTTGAGGATTTCGCTCGACTAGGTTCGAAAGAACCTTCGACGTTAACCGCTATAGAAAGGAAGGGGTCTTAGGTTTGGGCGTTACATAGCCACTGTCGCTGGCGAGACTTGTTGAGGGAACGTTTTCTGGAGTCGTAAAACTAGGGGATGGCATTTAAAGACTCTGACTAGTCAAGGGCGGTAGCATGGTTTCCTGCTTTGGTCTGTATACTACAGCGCTTGGAAGTTGCTGTTGTAGATTGAGGTATCGATTGTAGAGTCTAGTGTATTCTTTGATCTTCAGTTCCGCGGGAACATTGGGTTCCATAAGAATGTTATCCATCTATTCCTTTAAATTCTGTATTGTTTTGAGTATGGGTAGTTGTAAATAACTTTGACGTTCGAAATAGTTAGCCATGGATGTCATAGTGGCATCATACTCTCCACCATACTGTGATAATGTTGTTGTAGGATTCGGCTGGAAAGTAGTCTGATCACTGGGGAGAATATTAGTTCTAAGTCTGCATTCTTCTGGTGTGTTTGGCTTCAGATCCACAAAAAGATATCCATAAGGGCGTTGTACAGCGGCCTCGTACTTTTGAATGAACTGTTCTGTCTTGCCTGGATACATCTGCTTTCCCAAAGTCATCATTTGTAGTTTATCTCTTTGGTTTTTAAAAAGAACGAGGTATGCAGCATTTAGACTCAAGGTGCGCATAATTTTTCCCTGAAAGTAAAGATTCTGCATAAGAAAAATGACACTCAGGTTTCGATGATGAGATCCTTTGGTGAATAAGTTCATGATTCTCTTATCATTAGACGTCTCTGTCATTTGGTCGTCAATCACAATCAAATTATTGATCTTAGGGTTAAAATAATAATCTTCATCCAGGTCGTGCAGTATGCCTTTTACAAACTCGATCCCGGGAATGGTTTTCATCATGTGGTCGTAAGCAGATTGCCACTGAGCATAACTCCATACGATGCGCTGTGGCGGAGGACTGATCACTTGTGTTGCATTTTCGAGCAAATTCTGAACCCAAACCGTTTTTCCGGAACCGGTCATTCCTGCCACAATGGCTGTGAAGGGATGGAGTAACTGAAACCTGTCACATTTCGTGTGATCTTTAACATTTTGAGGCAATGGGTACGGAGTGTACCGATGACTGCTTTTTCGCATTTGTTCTTCACCGATCCAATACTTTCATTGCGAATTGTCCAACTTATGAGTTCGACTTAAATGAGTGTATGAATTCTTTTGCTGCTTTTCGCAAATAGGACAGGACCGTGTCATCGTGCGTCTTTCGAAAAATGAGGCGAATTCCTTTAGGGAGCGCTATTTATGCGAATCCAGTTTGGCAAGCGCAGAAATTATGGTCTTCATAAGATTCTAGTGTAGATATAAGATTCTAATGTAGATAAGTAGATTTAGTGTAGATTCTAGTGTAGATTCTAGTGTAGATTCTAGTGTAGATTCTAGTGTAGATTCTAGTGTAGATTCTAGTGTAGATTCTAGTGTAGATTCCAGTTTAGATAATAGATTCTAGTGTAGAATCTAGTTTAGATTCTAGTGTAGATTCCAGTTTAGATAATAGAATCTAGTGTAGAATCTAGTGTACTCAAGCATGTTAAGGCCTGGGTTGAGCCAGAAAAAGGGCTTAATAGGAAAAAAATCATATCTTCCCACGTTTTCCCCCGAATGAGCTAAAACTCCGGCTGATGTTTATTCTTGGTATTCCTGATTTAAAAATCCAATTACATGTCATATCTATGTCACGTGACGTGTCACATGACCATTGTAACATTTCATTGAATTTTCAAAAGTAGGTGCCGAGTTTTTCATAAAACAATCTAATTTTTATATTTCTTAAGACCAAATAAATATATCTGCCCTTTCACGTTGGGAATGGTTGTCCTTTATCCATTGGTTGAATGTTATTGCCTCGTTATTCTGGCTTCTCTCCGTTAGGTGCAATTTCGGTGGAGTTCTGTATGTAAAATACATTCATTCTCAACGTAAAATTTGAAAACTTTATCAGTTCATTACCTTTTGATTATCTATTCTTTTTCTTAAATAATATTCATCACCTACTTTGCAAAATCCTGCCAGTCCTAATAACA